GGGAGCTGACGGCCGTTTTGGTAGCGTTTGTTACTGCCTTGCTTCGCTCTCAGAGGGCTCTCTTTGAGGAGAGAGCTTTCACTAGCTTTTTTCACGGTGCCGGCCCCGCTTTCGCCGAGGCGGAGCGCCGGCTGTGCTCGTGGGTTTCGCGTATGGATCCGGTGGAGGGAATGTAGACGGGCGCGTCCCTATCTACTTCCTTAACCACCAGATCCAGCGCCCGCTCTCGGGGTTTCGGAAGCCCGGGGAGAGGGCGTGACGCTCCGCCTGTCTTTCTCCGAGGAGATTGATACGGAGGGCATCAGAGAGCTCGCCAGTTGCACAAACACCAGTTACACAAGCATATTATGCCTGATAATATAATCAACAGCATCAATGGGGAGCGGAGCTCGCGCAGTCGGCTCTCGAGAGAAAAAAGAGAGAAAAAAAAGAAGCCCACTGTGAAGCGCTCCGCTCTCGCCGGGCACGCTCCGAGGAGTGTGTCCGTGCCTGTGATCTTGCGATTGCAGTCCCGCTGCTGCTGAGGCACGGCGGCGACTGAGTTCGTGGGAATCGCATATGATCTGGTGGACGGGTTGGAGACGGCTCGTCCTATCTCCACCCGTGTTCCCTAGATCTAAAACTCGTTTTCGAGGCTGGAAGCCCGCGCTACGGTTCTTCCCACTCTGAGTGAGAGCTTGCTGATGCGGCCATCTTTTTCTGAGGAGATTGATGTTGTTGGTGTGACTGAGTGGCTCGTATGCTGCCGAGGCAACGCGTATATTACGTCATTCGATTTCGATGTAAATATTACTCACCAGACCGTATTTACCCCTCTGGTTGTTGACTGCATTTAATTCTGAGGAATAAAATGAAGTATTTTTCTGACTATGAGAAGTTAGATACACAGAGGCACTTGGGAAAAAATAAATAAATACATTTTCTCGAGTGAGAGCAGGTGCTTACCTCTCTTCCTCTGAGGAGGTTGAGGCGGTCAGCAGTGTCGTGACAGTGGGTCGAGGCGACACTCTAGGTCAGGGGCCTCGAAGTCTAAGCTGGACTGTACTTAAGACTAAGAGGTCCTCGGCCAAAAAGTCCTGACGCCACTGGCCCAGGACTCATGAGGGCAGTAAGCAAGTCGTGTCTCAGATCAGGTCCGAGGACTGGTTTGTCAGGATCGATCTAAAGGACGCATACTTCCATGTATCCATCCTTCCCACTCACAGGAAGTTCCTGAGGTTTGCTGTCGGGGGCAAAGCGTACCAATATCGTGTTCTTCCTTTCGGCCTTGCACTCTCACCCCGCACTTTCCCGAAGTGTGTGGATGTAGCCCTGGCTCCGTTGCGACTCCTGGGCATCCGCATACTGAACTATATCGACGATTGGTTGATTTTAGCTCAGTCAGAGCAGATGGTGGTTCGACATCGGGATGTCGTTCTCGCCCACATGAGAGAGCTGGGGTTGAGACTAAACGCCAAGAAGAGTGTGCTTTCTCCATTACAGAGGACCACGTATCTAGGCGTGGTGTGGGATTCGACCACGATGCAAGCACGTATGTCCCCTGCTTGGATCGAGTCGATCCTTACCGCAGTCGCGAGAGTCAGAGAAGGCTGGTCACTGACTGTCAAGCAGTTTCAGAGACTGCTGGGTCTGATGGCAGCTGCGTCCAACGTGATACCTATTGGCCTGCTGTACATGAGGCCCCTACAGTGGTGGCTCAAGACCAGGGGGTTCTCCCCGAGGGGAAACCCGCTTCGCATGTTCAAGGTCACGCTGCGATGCCTACGTGCCTTGGAAACCTTGGTTCTTGGCTCAGGGCCCGGTGCTGGGAGCTCCTTGTCGCCACGTAACGCTAGAGACGGACGCGTCCCTCACCTGTTGGGGAGCGGTCATGAGTGGCCACCCTCCCCACGGTCTGTGGAGTGGTCGCCATCTCACGTAGCACATCAACTGCCTGGAGATGCGGGCCGTGCTTCATGCACTAAGACTCTTCCTCCCAGACCTAAGAGGTCACCATGTGTTGGTGCGCACCGACAACACAGCAGTGGTCTCTTACATCAACCACCAGGGAGGTCTGCGCTCACGAGGGTATGATCTTCCACCCCCGCTCGGAGCTGTGGAAGTTGTGGGTGTGGCCCCTGAGTGGGCACAACTCATAGCTTCCGGTCTCTCAACCGAGGTTGTTGAGACCATCCTCCAATCCAGAGCTCTCTCCACGAGGAAACTGTACGACTTGAAGTGGAAACTTTTCACTTCTTGGTGTGGAGACCGCCAGCTCGACCCAGTTAACTGCCCGGTTGGTACAGTGCTGGAGTTCGTGCAGGCCCGTTTCTCCGCAGGGTTGACCCACTCCACCCTGAAGGTCTACGTGGCGGCTATTGCGGCCTACCACGCCCCTCTTGGTGGCCAGTCAGTGGGCAGACACTCCCTAGTTACACGTTTCCTCCGTGGTGCGCTGAGGCTGAGGCCTCCGGTACGATCTCATGTACCCATGTGGGACCTGGCTGTGGTGCTAGAGGCTCTCTGTAGGCCTCCCTTTGAGCCTATTGAGGAGATATCTGATCGCCTCCTTACTATCAAAACTACCTTCCTGTGGCGATATCTTCTCTCAAGAGAGGTGGGGACCTGCAGGCCCTTTCAGTGGCCCCTTCTTATCTTGACTTTGGGCCCGGTCTGGCCAAAGCGTTTCTGTACCCGCGAGCGGGGTATGTTCCTAAGGTCCCCTCCTCTACACCGCGGCCTGTCATGCTCCAGGCCCTCATTCCTCGTCCCTTAGGGGATCCAGACCAGCAGAAGCTTACCTGTATGTGTCCAGTGCGAGCACTGGACGCATACGTCCACAGAGCTGCGGTGGATAATGGATGCCATTTCTATTTCCTATGAGTCCTCTGATCTCCCTTCGCCTCTTGGGGTCAGGGCTCACTCTACTAGAAGTGTGGCGGCCTCTGAGGCCTTCCTGGCAGGTGTCTCCATGCAGGACATCTGCGACGCCGCGGGATGGTCCACGCCCCTGACCTTCGTCAGGTCCTATGACCTAGACATGCTAGCCACTCCTGGCTCTTCTGTTCTCTCGCCCTAGCTGTGCAGTCTTCCACACTAGGCAGAGACTTAGAAGTCTGGCGGCGTGGGCAGTCGCGTTCCCCTAGCGCTTCCGATGCAGCTCGAGTTCCTGAAGAGGAACGTCTCAGGTTACGTATGTAACCCTAGTTCCTTGAGGGAACGAGATGCTGCGTCTCGGTGCCATACTTCCGGCGTACCTGCCAGCGCTTGCTTCATTCATAGAAGCCGACGCTGGTCTCACCGCACGTGCTTTTATAGCTTCCTGGCCATCACGTCCCCCGCGTGACGTCTCGCCCATCTATTGGTCTGATTACACATGAGGTTCAGAGCCCGTCATGCTGAAGGGCGTTCCCCTAGCGTTTCCGACGCAGCGTCTCATTTCCTTGAGGAACTAGGGTTTCATACGTAACCTGAGACGATTTTTTTGCACCCTCAGATTCCAGACCTTCAAATAGTTGTATCTCGGCCAAATATTCTAACAAACCATACATCAATGGAAAGCTTATTTATTCAGCTTTCATATGATGTATAAATCTCAATTTCGAACAATTTACCCTTATGGCTGGTTTTCTGGGCAGGGTCACATATATTAGTAAATGTTGAAATTAACATTAACTAAGATTAAGAAATGCTTTGAAAGTATTTTAATTGTTAGTTCATGTTAAGTAATGTAATATTAACAAATGAAAAGAGTAAAGAGTTAGGCTACACTCTAAAAAATGCTGGGTTGTTTTAACCCAACTTTGGGTCAAATATGGACTAACCCAACTTTTGGGTTAAAAATGTAATTGAAAAATGTAACCCAACAGTTGGGTTAGTCCATATTTGACCCAAAGTTGGGTTAAAACAACCCAGCATTTTTTAGTGTACAATAAAAATATGGGTGTGATTTCTGATATGGCAAATATTTTGATTCACTTCCTTTTTTGTATAATAGGCTACTACTGAACTGAAAGCCTTAACTTCCCATTTAAAAGGTGTAAAATTATACTTTATTTATAAAGGAATGAGAATTGGTTAATGAACAGTTAATGGTAACATGTAAACACAAACAATAACAGGAAATAAAAAAAATCCCCAACACAACAACGTAATGCTACAATATGGTTGTAAACCTGCAATGTATCTGTCGTGTGCTTTGAGTTTGTGTTTACATCGTTTATACAGCCCCTCAAGTGTCCGGAGGGAGGCGGATCAAGCATCTCCTCTCACTAGGAGGAGGAGAAGTCAGACATTGCCCTTAACACGCTCGCGGAGTAACTGTCGCGCGGGAAACAAAGGCTCGACTGCTGTGAAGTCAACAGTCGCGCTCTCCATCCTGAAGCATGTGAGAGTCTGCTGCTGCTACAAAGGGACGCCAGAACACATTCACCGTCGGGTTGAGCGCCGCTCGCCGGAAAACAGAGACCACAAGTCCCCGCCAAGAGCTGAATTTGCAACCTGAGAGAGTCACCGAATTAATGGCCATCATTAGAAAGTAGTAGCCCAGTCATATTGATCGCCTATATCGTTTACGCCTCCGAGCGGGGGGGTTGTTTTCTTCTGAGCGTGCGCGAGAGAAACATTCGCTATCAAAAGGGAACGGTCTGACCATTGAGTAAGTATTCATTTCAGAACAATTGTTATTTTCCTGCGGGTTTTATTGTCTTTCGTTTCCTGACACCTCTGTTTTGTTGTTATGCTTTAGTCTTGGCATTGCGATGGCGCTTTAAATCGTCTGAATGTCTTGAATACATTTCAACAACCGATTGCAATGTAACAGTGCGAGATAAGTTACATTTTCCTTTTCGCAGGGAGTACAGGTGGGTTAATAAGCTATTTAAAGGTTATGTCTTTCATCATATGTTTACATAAATTGCAGCATTAGTATCTTCTGTAATGGCCCAATAACACGCTGGTGCGTTTTGCAGCGCATCCCCGTGGTACAGTACGTGCTCGGGTGTGGGAGAACCACATCTAGTAATATACTGATGAAACTGGGCGGGATGATCCAATATGGCCGTGTGGACCTGGATTTAGCAGCATATGATGTAAGATATTTTCGTATTCATTTGGATTTCGGCCATTTAAACGTTCAAATGTGAATTAATTTCCCCGCGTGTGGAATCAAATACGCTTCACGTCTGACAGGATTCTGACGCGTTTTGTTGTATATTAAGAAAAATAGTTCATCTTTAATAGTTGTGAAATGTGTCGTTTTGTGTGGAGAATAAGAAGACGCACATTGGACGGCGATTCCCCCTTCATGTGGATATCAACTCTGGTACATATCCAATGCTAAAGCTTTGTCAGTCAAGTTTACGCTCCTATGAATATTTGAGACACTAGGTCATTGGACCCACCAAAGCAGGTTGATCAAAAAAAAAATCAATGAGGTTCTTCTGAAATTAGGATTGGTGCTCTAGAAGTTACAGTGCATTATTATGAGTTGTGCAAATGTTATAGCCTATTGGGTATGACAAGAGTTCACGAAGAAGAACCACATAAACTCTCTGGAAGGATTTCTTAATAGGGATGCACGATATATCGGCCACCATATCGGTATCGGCCAATAAATGCTCATTTTTTCTGTTATCGGTATCGGCCTGATAAGAAAATTTGGCCGATATCTTAAAGCCGATAAATAATGCATTATTTCCTTCAGAGACACTTCAGATGCGCGCTGTTCGTTTGCAGCCTTTTGTGCAATTGTACGTTGTAATATTGTGTTTATTTGATGTATATCTGATTTATCTCATATAGAATGCATTTGATTAAGTTGAAAGAGCGCTTCAGTTTACCGGTGATCGTCTTTAGCTCAGCGCACGCAGCTAAAACAGCAGTGCACAACATTAATAACTATGATTGGGAATGTTGTGTATATAACATTCTAATGAGAACATTATTATAATAAAACGTTGTGCATTCTTTGGGTTTAGTTGCTGTGTTTCAGCGCGTTGATATGGGAAGAGCGCATCCACAACAGGATCACACATTCTGACTATAGCACGCCATAACTGCGTCATTTTGTACATATATAAGTTGTAATATTATGTTTATTTTGTATTAATATTAATCTCAGGATGCATTTCCTTGAGTTAAATAAGCTGCCAGCAAAACGCTTCAGTTTACCATGTTCATTCAGCTCTTCAGCTTCAGCACGTGCAGCTCAACGGCTGCTATTTAAAACATTGGTATTAATTTGTTATTTTCAAAATCATTGATACATTATTAATAACAACAACCACTTTTTCTCTTTTTCTCTGTATTTTTCTCTTATTATTTTCATCAACAATATGGTTTAGTAATTAAAATCATTTAATTATTGTCCGTGCAGAGGCTATTCCGTTTTATTGATCTGTGGCGCATTCATTTTGATTCTTTACACGTGTAATGATGTCCAGTGACTTGTTTGCATTATTTATGCATTATTTTATTTATTTGTAAGACTTTGACTAAATTTGGTAATGGGAGAGTAAAAATATTTTTAAAACGTACACCGTTCAAACTAGGCTGCTTATGTTGAATTGTTTGGGATGTGACTTTTAATGATGAGACCTTTTTTGTAATCAGGCTCTCAAAAAGTATATAACAATTTGGATATAGATTTATCGGCCAACATATCGGTTATCGGCTTTCAAAAATAAAGAATAATCGGTTATCGGTATCGGGCAAAATTTTCATATCGGTGCATCCCTATTTCTTAATTTAATTTAGCTTTAGAATAAGAGAATTAGATACCCTTGGGAATTTCTTATGGGTATTTAGAATAGTTTAATTTATAATTAAAACAAGGCCTGTGGTTAATAATACTTGGAAGGTCTTTCACATTTTTCTTTAAGCAATACGATGTGAGAGGTATTGATAAAGGATCTCTCAAAACGTACACTTACTACGAATTAAAAATATTAAAGGCACAATATGTTCGATTTTTTTGTATTAAAATATCCAAAAACCACTAGAACAGTGTTATATATTTTGCTGACTTGTGTACTTACATTATCCCAAATGTTTTGAAGAATGTTTAAATCCAAAGAAATAAGCTATTTTAACTAGTGACAGGGACCGTGTCCATAGTGTCATTGTGTCACCTGCCAATAACGTCATAACCCCTCAATTTCCGGTTTTGTTTTGTAGAAAACATGAAAACACCAAAGATGCTTTATTATGTTGTGCGTTTTAATAGACCGGTGTCGACCGCACAGAGTAGCATTATAACAGAACTTTCAAACGTATCTAGTATGATAAAACAGCACTGCTTTTTTCCCCACATACTCACGACCGGAAGGAGCGGAAGCGGTCGACTGGCATAATAAAAGTTCCGCTGCTTTCGAGCCGTTTGCCACGCTCGTTCAGCGGCCTCGTTTCGCTTCGACGGATTTCAGCCTCACCCTGCTTCATACTACGACATTAATAAATCATTAGCTCATCCATGAACATGATTTCTGCCCAAGTCCCATCGGATTGCGTCGGCTGTGGGGATGAAGACGACAACTCCCATGATTCCACACTCAGTCACGGCGTCATCAAACTACGCCTTTGTTTCTTTGTTTATTTCGAAAATACCCTCTCGGTTTTCTAATTAATCGTTACAGATTTTGTGAACAATTCGTTGATGCATGTTTCATTTTATTTTTTGACCTTGTAATATTTAATGAAAAATTTAAAATGCCATAACTGGACCTTCCGGTGCAAACAACAGATTTATCTCTGGTGACATGCAGGTATTCTCCAATCATTTCATCTGCTTAAACCCCGCCACTGCAAGCTCGCGTTCAATCGCCAAGTCCAGGCTTAATCCATTATGCTTGGATGTATGTCCCAATATGGACGAAATAATTTGTCGCTTCTTCCGTTTCATTTCACAGATGTTCATTAAACATTGTTTTATTCATTCATTAACATGTGCCATGCTCCCCCTATGAGATATAGTGTAGGCCCTGTGACATAGCATAATTTTACTATGCAACAACAATGATGATCCTCTATGCTGACTGTGCAGTGATGTTATGAACAGGTGTTTTACATACAGCTGTCACTATATTTCTGTAGCCTGTAGTATTCCACAATATAAGCCAGGACTGCAGCTACAGTATCCATTTTATAATGTACACAGCATAAATTGCACATAGTCATCAATAACTGTCAAGCTGCTGTGTGAGAATATGCTACTAATAGCTACTAAAACTTGTTCACAAATTTTAGACCAAAATTGTTTTAAATGTTTCAGTAAACAAGCTTCCAATAAGGACTCAAAAAATATCTATGCATTTTTTCAACACAGCAACCCTTATCTGCCAGGGTCCCCAGCTCACATTCCTGTGAGAAGAATTTACTGTATAATACTACGTAAATAAATTCTTATTCATTTAGATTTTTTAAAATTAGTATTACATTTAAGAATTCCCCATCAGTGTATACATTACTCAGTGGCATGAGTGCATTTATATGTTTTACATTGCTGCTTAAATATGACGTCTGGTATTATGCAATTAGTTGTGTGGTCACATGGGGTCTGTCACTTGATGGGTGTAGCCATCCAGCAGCAAGGACTCTTGATAGCTGCGATGATTTGACACAGTTAAAACTGAACAGCTCTGGACTGTCACTGATATTTTAACCTTTCACCTATATCTCTTCCTTTCTCTATCAGAACTCTAGCAGATAATAGCCCGTAACAGACTCTCCTCATTTACTCAAGCCCTTCCTGCTCACTCCAGATCTTATGAAAATATCTTTATGACTGCTACAAAACACAAGTGCACACTTAATGACTTTTTTTCCACAAATGGCCAATTTAGAGGAGACTTTTCACCACAGCTAATGTCCATTGAAATATTTTGGATGAAGTGGTTATGGACTACGTTTTCTTAGGGTGAAAAATCCACTTGAATTTTATGAATTGTAAGACGGTCATCTCTAAAAACCAGAAGGTTCCAGCAAGATAAACTATTGAAGTGTAACAGCTATAAAAAAGTGACCTACATTCTATATGTTTGAAATATATATGCACTCATGGTCTAACAGTTTTAGGAGGTTAGTATTAGGGATGCACCGAATGTTCCGCAACCGAAATTATTCAGCCGAAAATAGCAAAAAAAGCTCTTTCGGTGTTCGGCCGTATAAGCGGAAAGACCGAATAAATTGTACCGAACAATGATGTGACGCGATCAAATAGCAACCAGTGCAGAGTGAGAGTCGTGCACTCTTTATAATGCAGCACACACGTCAGCAGTGTGGAAGCATTTAAACTGTCGGAGAAAGACGCAAAAATCATTACAAGCACCGACAGAGAGAGACTGTTTAGGACTGCATCGCATGTCTTCAGTGAGAAGAGGAAGGGGTGATTGTTGCTGGTTACTGTATGATGATTGAAATCGCGAAATGGCCTTAAACAATTAGTCAATAAACTGCAGAACGTTATGTTTTCTAATACACGCGCACATTACATGTATTCTGACAGCGCTATCTGCTTGTTAACCAGGGTTCAAAGGCCAAAGCGCGAGGAAAATCTGCGCTGATACAGTCGTCAGTTGCTCAGTCACATTTTTATGAATTTTTACAAGGCATGTGACAATGCGATACGTACGACGTATTCGTAATGAGACACATTTATAAATCTGTTGTCAACAAAAATAAGCATTGAGGTCTTCCTGCACGTTTCCGCGAAAATAAAAGTTGAGAAAAAGCAAGAACTCTTATCAACATTCATAAATGTTAGTATTGTAATTTTACTGTTGTTCTGTAAAATAAATAAAAAGTAAGACAATAATAATGATAATAATCATTACAACAGCTCTGTTTTAATACATTTATTATAACATTCACACATAATGTTCAAATTAGGATCTGTAATATTTTCTAATGTTTTAAAAGAAGTCTCTTCTCAGCAAGGCTGCTTTTAATTGTACAGTAAAAAAAAAATACATGCCTGATTCAAGAAGTGGGTCTGATGGCCAAAAATTATTCTTTTACTAACTTATTAATTTTAAGTTAAATTGTGCTTTGTTGGTATAGTGTCTGCTAGAATGTTAAAATGTTCAGTGTTAAATATTTTTAAATTGTTGTTTTGTCATTTATTTCTTTTCTTTGAAAAGCAAGACAAAACAGTAAAAAGCACATTTTGGCTTTTTCATTTATGCAATTGGGGGGAAAAAATTGAAAAACCGTGTTCGGTATTCGGCCTTCGGCCCAGTGTTTAATTTTGTTTGGCTTCGGCCAAGAATTTTCATTTCTGTGCATCCCTAGTTAGTATCCTCCCTTCCTTTTCTTCTCCCCAAGGTTGGTTGGGCCCTGGCTCATGGCATGTCTCAGAAAAAAGGGAGTGCTTGAAACTGTTGGTACCGTCCTTTACTAGTCAGTCTGGACCTTCTCAAAATCCACGTTGAAGTTTCTCAAGTCTCCCTCCCACATTCCTTGCAATCAAATAGCACTTAGTATGTAACTCTATTTGTGTTCATGACTTAGTTGGGTGGCCTTTTTAGCTCTTACAGGATAAGTTTTGATTTCTTGAACATGCATATTTTGTAAGTGTCAAATGTCCACTAATTTGTTTCTCAACCACCACCAGAAATTTTCTAAGATTAGTCTGGATTATTTTCTTAAAGTTCTCTACAGAAACATTACAAATTAACTGGTTGAACATCTGCAGTTTGCAGTAACAAGAATCCCTTCAGATGGCATGAATTGCTAGCATGAATTGCTAGCGGGCTTAAAATTTAGTTATATATCCTACAAGCCATTAAAATCTACCAAGAAAGGACTCTCAGGAAAGGTTTACATCACCATAAAGATGGGCCTGCTTTGTTGTAACTGTCATTGGCTACGTTTACATGCACAATTTTTGGTTCAATCAGACTGAATTCATTCCGATTGATGAATCTGAATGTAGTGTTTACATGAACGCTAAATAAAGTGATCGGGTTGATGTGCGTTTATATGTCACAAGCTTCAAATTGGAATTTGATTTATTTTTTTACATGTGCACACTGCACAAATATAGAGTTTCTCGCTGTTTGCACATAATAACCACTCTCCTACACTGTTTCTTTATTTGTTTTTAACAGCAGAATGAATATTTATCCATATTATGGATCATAATATGTGAAATATATATATGAAAACCCAAAACAGGTTGCCTGTGGATGAGAATCCAAAACAAGGACTGGTGGGAGGTTGTTCTGCTCCACTTCACAGTTGCCGAGTGAAAGGAGAGTTTTATAATGACAGGACACGCATTTATACAACACTTTATTCAAAAGGAAGATCCGTTCGTTCCGTGCGTCATACGTCATTACGCTATTTCTGCGTCATTGCACATGCGCAGTCCTTTCAGTTTCGGGGTTCAGTATGATCGAGTGTTTACATGCACTCTCAATCGTATTAGAAAAGGAATAAACCACCCCCTTCAATCCGATTGAAATTTCATTCCAATCGAGCTCAATCAGATCGATTAAGGTGTTTACATGAAGGCTTTTCAGTCCGATTGAGCCGTCAATCCGTTTACAAACGGATTATTTGGTTGCATGTAAACGTAGCCATTGTACTTTGTAATTGGGATACAATGCATAAATAGGACCTGTCATTTTTGTCACACCAAAGTTTATTTCATATACACAAAAAGAAGCCTTTGGTTGATGTTGTGGCATGTTTTTTCATAAATTTGATTTTCTCTATAGAAATCTAGCCATGATTATCTATTGGCTGCTCTTTGTCACTTTTGGCATTTTAAACACTTTTGTTGGCCAGAGATTGAACCAGTGAAAAGGTCACAGCATGGCTTCAGTGTGTTGCCCAGCAGTGGACTAGAGAGGGGAAACAAGCTGTAAGATAAGTGCACCCACACTGGAGACTTCACAGATTGGATAAAGCTGGCCAGTGCTGTGTTTTTCCTGGACTCCCAAGTGCTTTTCCAATGCTGTCAATGAGATGTGGCGAAAGGAAATGGCTGCATGGTGTTGAAACTTTTCAAAGAGTTTCTCCTCATTTCTCCATTCCTAAACCACTGATGCAGTGTTGTACTAATTTGCATAGAGTTTTAGAGCTAGTGAAATTTATTGCAGATTAGTTGAATAAACCCAACTAAACAACGCTTTCAGCACTACAAATTGGTTTTGTGAGCGCAATCTTTATTTTTATTAAACAGTATTTTGTATAATTCATTGTATACATTGTATTCCACACACACACACACACATATGTTTGAGCAAATAGTTATTGCGTGTTTTGTCAACTGTTATCCCTGCTGCTCATCGCTTTTGTTACCGTCCATGTTGCTTCACTTTTCATGAGTGGGCTTACTCAATGAATCATCCTCGGCGTGATCTCAAGTGCTGCATTTGTGACTATCTACACTAGTGGTTTACAATGCAGGTGTTAATGCAACATTGAGTGTTTTTATACTGAGGAGTGGGTCTGGGGTGACTTTGAGTTCAACAGTTATTCCATCGGTCGACAGTTACTACTTTGGTCTGAATGTACAGAAGTAAATCATTTAAGCGATTGCTTAGATTTTATCTTGCATGATCAGTTCCATTGTGAGTGATACTTTAGGTCTAAAATCAGAGAGAGATAACATATCGACAAACATTCCCTGTGAGGGAGTGACCATGTGACTGGCTTTGCTCGGGTGGGCCATTGAGATCACCAATCAGCTGAATGACTCTCCCCTGCAGCCATTTCCAGGAGAGAAAGCTCTTTTTCTGTGGACCAGCGCAGAAGCCTGCAGTAAAACAGGCTTTGACAAAAGACATCATTGTGCCAGGTTAATCATGGCTATCCACTACCCATGTTCCCATTCCATGGTTGACCTCTTTTTTATCCATGTGTCCCTTTTCCTTTGATATTTTTTGTAAGTTTCCTCAATCCATGCATTGTATGTTTTGCCGCCTCACAGGATGCTCATCAATGTAGCCAACAAATAATCACAAATGGAGGGCCTTGTTTGGACTGCTTTGTATTGATATTACACTGGCTTAACTTTTCTGCCATATTATACATGCAAAGAGGAGTTTTGGTTTCTCTTTTACAGTATTCATACCCATATCAAAGTCCTACAGAACTATTGGAGTCAGCAACGTTGGTCTTCCTTTGGCTTTGAGCTTTATGTTGGAGCTCTGGAATCAATTTAGTGAGGAATGCAAAGGACTGTTAACAGTCTTGAAATTTGCACGCCATTCATAACTTCTCCTTTTATCACTGTTGGACTGGTGTTTTCCGCTGCTGTGAAAAAGATTTGCAGTATATATCGGTTCATATCTGGAGTTTGATTTCTGAGAAGAGAAAAAGAGCTGCCCACTTCTTTTATCGATTCTCATCGACATGTTTTCCCTCGAAGGAGAGAAGTGCAAAACACTCTTGACAGACTAGCCTCATATTTTACAGGAGCAAAGCATGCGGAGACATAAAACAGGGTCCATCTATAATACATCGTGAACGTGTACAAGACATTAGTTCAGATTTGCAGGTATAGCAGCGTACAAGGTCTTTAAAATGAAATGAACTGTGTGTCTAAAGATCAGGCTGGGATCTGGCCATGCATTATGAAACAAAAAAATACACTAAATGTTATATTTTCAGGTAAATGAAAATTGATCCTTATTACTCCTGTTGTGTCAGCTGTTTAAACAAAAATGTAATTTCACTGCTTTTTTGCAGGATGTCGGAGGCTTTGTCACAGCAAGAGAGACTTCGGGCCATTGCTGTAAGTAAATAATTACACTATTTCTAATTTATTTATATAACTACGCTACTAAACTAACTAATCAAAAGTAATTGATCATTAAAAATAATGAATTCCATTATCAATTAGTCAGGTCTGTGTGCCGTGCACAGAGGAGCTTCATCAGTGACATCACTTTACAGTAGTGAAACACACATTTCTATCTGGAAAATGCATTTAAAAATCACAGACCTGCTGTGGGAAAAGTACACAACCCAGGTTATAGTAAGCATGGAATAGCATGTTTTTTTCCAAATACCTTTCAAAAACATTTGTTTTTTTTATTATTATTAATTTCTTTTATTTTTGAAAGAAATTAATTTGTTTAATCTTCAAGGATGCATTATTTAGTAAAGACATTTTTAATGTTATAAAAGATTCCTGTTTCAAGCAAGTGTTGTTCTTTTGAGCTTCCTATTCAAAGAATCTTGAAATTCAGTTTTGCCATCACAGGAATACATTTAAAAATATATTCAAATTGAAAACGGTTATTTTAAATTGTAATAATATTTCACAATATTTCTGTTTTATTATATTTTTGATCACATAAATGCATATGAGCATAAGAGATTTTCAAAAACATTAAAAAAAAATCTTACCAACCCCAAACATGTGAACACCGAAAATAAAATGAATGTTTTTATATAATTAATTGAAGAAATATGCAACTTGGTTGTTATATTGCTATATACTAATCACGCAGAATCAGAATGAGGACAGATGTCAGGATACAGATCAGAAGCACAGAAGGCCTAAGTGATGTTAGTCTTATGAGGCATTATGCTCCTACAGTATGTCAGTGACCGTCTATAATGGTGTCACGGGGCTGACGAGACGAGAGGCGTGCGGATCCATGTGCAAGCTTTATTTAACAAGAGAAGTGGTCAAACACAGGCAGGGTCGATCAATGGCAAACAGGTATATGGCGGGCAAAACACAAGAATAGTCCTAGGGCTAGCGTAGGTCACTGATCGGCAGACAGAATCACAGGGGCGAGACGAGAGGGAAAAATCCAGGAAAACAGGCAAAGATCAGAAACCGAGAAAACAGGCAAGGCAAGGCAAAACAAGGAAACACAGAGACTCGGAACGGGGTACAGGCTAAACAATACTCAGCGGAGAATGGTTGTGTGAGTGGGTGTTATATAGTGAGTGAGTGATATGAAACAGCTGTGTGCAAACAGAGTCAATGTAATGGAAAGGGTGACCTCTGGTGGTGAATGAACGGAAGTCCATGGACAGGATTCATGACAGAGCATTGGGGTTGATAGACAAGACTGAGCGTTCAGAGAGTTCATAGGCGGCCTCCTTGGCTGGAACAGGACAGGCAGAGAGTTCATAGGTGGCCTCCTTGGCTGGAACAGGACAGGCAGAGAGTTCAT